TTTTGGTTTAGCCATAAATGTTGGATTATCCATAGGAAAATTCATAATTTATTAATAGTAATGGAAAATGGTACATGCAGCTTTTAACCCAAAAATGATAACCTGTACCTGGACTTCCTATACTGTTTATAAAGTTTTGCATATTCATAAATATTAATTGAATTGCATAATATAAACAAATAATTATATTTCATTTTCTTAGTTTTCAGAAATGTATTTTGCTCCAAACTTAAGTGTGCCCTGGAAAATGGGTCCTTCCCACACCTAATTTTCCTCAGTTATCTAAAAATGTGATTTATTCCTGAATCAGGAAGACATAGTTTTGCAAAAAACTATAATATTTAGAGTTTCAGAAAAACTCCCATTTCCATAAAAACCAAGCAAATGTTTTTAATAAAGAGAAATATATTAAAATTTTTGTTTCAGTTCCACTTTTTAATTCTCACTAAGTCTTCATTTATTTCTTTCGGGCTAAAGGCCTGAGGGCTAATACCTATTTTTATGGCTGATTTACATGTTGTTGAGCTTTCATCTCTCCTTCTTTTGTGTGTGTGTGTGTGTGTGTGTGTTATCAAGAGAAAAGGAGAAAATAAATTTCCTGAAGAATATAGAGTGGATTAGTGGAAATAATCATTGCATTCAAATATCAATTACATTAAATTATTTTATCTTGAGATCTCTGTGAATTAGGGGGGAAAGATTATTCTGGATACTGGTGAAGTATTTCAAGTGCAGGTGAGAATGAAGGCCAAGAGTAAGAGAGACAATTGCAAGGTAGGTAGACTTAAGTGATTAAAGGACAAATATGGAATGGAGGAAAAAAGAGAAGTAAAATCAGGGCAAGTCGGTGAAGGAACTTGAAACTAGGGTTAAAGTCTAGTTTTAGAGTTTAGGAAAAACCAAAGATTTAACAAAATACTATTCAATAAGTTTTTTTAAAGCACACTATAATAAAATGGGGTCTTAAAAACGTTTCTGAGACAATTTCCTGGGGTAAGTTTTCCTTCTGTTATTTGGGCAGTGATTGCCAGTGCCACATAAAACTCCTCAACTCTCATAAATTGTCAGTATTTCAACATCAGCATGAATAATGTATGTGAGAGATAGCATAGGAAGAAGAGTTCAGATTTGTAAAAGAGGAACAGCAGATGCTGGAAACCCTAATTGTGGTTATTGGGCAATGTTGTCTAGTCCATAGCTCAAGACTTTGACACTTACTGACTTTAACAGGGTTGTGCAATTCATGGGCATGGAAATTCAGCTTGGCTGAAAATGAATGTATTTTACCTGATAGTTTTCTCAAGAAGGTGATGGTTCCCAAATGTCTAAATTAATATTTTGACAGAATTCTACCACATATGCCTCATCTCTACTGAGCACAATGGCAGACTTGTGTTGTGAGGTTGATTAACCAAGGACACAGGATTGGCACATAGTAGACTAAATTGTAAATGACTGAAAAGAAGCTCATTCGTGTCTGTTTATTCATCCTTATTAATAGTTTTGGGCACTTAGAAATGCCTCAAGGAAAGGCAGAACTGCAAGTAAATAAGTTTGTGAATACTACCATTAAACTCTGGGGTATTTGAAATACACAAAAATGGTGAAAATTAATGGATACCAAAATCTCAAGAAATCAGATTTTCTAAAATGCGTTCATAATTCCAACTTAAATTATTGCCTCTTCAATACCAAATATTTACCTGTTGAGGTGTAGGTCATATAATAGCTCAATGAATTATTTGTTCAGATGTTGATTTTGAAAGCTATTAAAAGTTTTGTTTAAGTAATTTTTAGTGCAATCCTAATGTACTTCAAGCCACTGAATTTTAGAGATCATTATGAGCAACAGTTTTTTATTTTTCAATAAAATTATTGAGATAGCTGCCTAAGGGCCAGAAAAAAAAGATGGTTAGTCAAGTATTTGTTAGTGACAATTCAGAACTTCAACATTTTTATCATGATACCTGAAAAATCATTTCATACTTTTTTGGATATTTTCAGAAAAAAAAATCCATGTCAATATTAGGCAAAAGACACTGTTGAGTAAGGAAAACTGTGCTGAATGAGGAATCAGAACACCCATGTTCTTGAGTCCTGGTTCTGTTGCATCTACTTATATAACCCCAATTATCTGAGCCCCATTGTTCACATCTGAAAAATTAAAGGGTAAGAATAAATAATGTATAAGCCAGGTACCGGATCTTACATTCTATGGCTTTATTACTCTGTGATGCAATACAGAAGTTTGCAAGCTCCTTTTCAGAAAGTTTTCCTCAAGCTATATTAATGTGTTCTGCTGTTAGAGTTAGTATTTTCCCCCTCCACTGGGAAACTAGATACTGATTTTTCCCCATTCAGTGATTTCTTTGATAATTTTTCTAAAAATACAGGTTGCTGCCACTGTTTATCTGTGTAGAATAAAATACAAAGATCTGATTAGCAAAAATCTTTAGTGATAGACATTTTTTTTTGTTTAACACTTCCTGCTGGCTGAGGGGCACTGCTCCTGATGTCAGTCAGGAGGCGGTGCTCCTGCTGGCCTACACCCGGGTCTGAGCAGATCTCCGAGCCTCTGATCAATTGGTTCATGATCAATTGGTTCCTTCTAATTATAGCACAGCATTTCATATAGTAGCACACACTTTGGGTTCACACTCAGGAATTAGAACTCAGAGGAGGACAAGGGAAAAGGAGAGCCCTCAAAGGGCCTACAAGGTGAGGAGCGAGGAAAGCAGGGCCTGTGTTCCTGGTAATTTTCAATGTATATGAAGGAGTTGGTAGCAGATGATAGTTATCACTTGGTGGTAAAGGAAGTTTAGGACAATATTGTGTGTTCCCTCCAAAATTAACAAAAGAAAGCTACATGAAGCAATAACTAAGTCTCCCATGAGAACCATACCACCAAATCTTGCAAGAGAACCTATATGCTGATAAAGGTCTCTTATTTATGGTAATTAGTGTTTGCTGTACCGTTAACATTCTTCGGATGATCGTAATCTTTCACTAACATTGCAGTGGTACTTAACTGTTCAGTAAGAAATTGAAAATGCTCAGTAAATATTATTTCTATTTTATTTAACAAATTCCCATGTTAGTGCACAACATATCATTTTACAATGAACTTTACATCATAGATGTACTCTGCATTAAAAAACTGATTGTTGAACTTAAGTGCCTGCACATGACTGGTTTTTGTACACAACACACATATGTACTCCACAATGAAGCAAACGACACTATTCTTAAGTAAGAATGTTATAAGCAACATTTTATTTTGCCTGAGCTTAGAAAATCTTAGAACCATGTCAGCGATAATTTGAGGCATTGGTTGCTGATGTACTTCTGATGACATAAAGTAAACTGCTCCTTCTCATGTCTCAAGACCCAGAATACACAGTTGACTCTCCAATTTAAAAGTCTGTTATGTAGGCCTGTTGACATCTGGGGGATGAGCACAGGAAAATTGACAGAGACAGCATGGCTGGGAGATAGGAGGAAAACCAAGGTTATCCTGTGTTATCAATACCAATGGAAGAAAAATGATAAGATTGAAGTGTTGACAAATCGTGTTGAATACTGGAGAGAAAATTTGTAGGCTTTTCTCAGCATTTTTGATTGATTGCTGATGGTGGAACCAGACTGAAAGTACCTAGGATTCATGTCCTAATAAAGTGCCTAGGGTACCTAGGGATAGCACAAAGGGAGACCTTAATGAATGTATCATATGTGTGTAGAAAAAATATGTAGGATTAGAAGAACATTAACTGTATCAAATTGCAAAATGATGCTATAGTCTTAATATCTCATGAGATTGGTTGCTGTATATAATTTTGTTTTTTCATGTAGGAGCTTTCCTTCTCCTGTTGATCAATCTCAGTGCCCAAGATTGCAAATGTGACTTATAATGTAATTTGCTCACCCACTGCTGCTTCTCTGAGTTGGTGATGTCTGGGGTTAAGCCGTCTCCCATCTCGCGTTCCATGGAATGACGGCGCTCTTGGTCACTGCCACACCAACTTGTGGGAGGCCACGTTCATCTCTGCCCCTAGCTCTCTTTCTTTGGTGTGGGTAGACAGTGGCCAGGATACTGCTATTTCTCATAAATTCCTTGTAATCGCAGCCATCTCTCAGGTGCATCACTGAAGAGGCCAACAAGGATGTTCTGTTATTTCAGCACTCTGATTCTACTTGACAGAGACAAAGATTGCGCTAAACTGTCTGGCAGGTTCCTTTTGTTTTGTTTTGTATTCTTTGTTTAGGTTCTGTAAATTCAAGGCAGACAGAAGCCAGTCATTTAGTTTTCTTCAACCCTTTGACTTGAGAATATGTCCTGTGTGTGTGTGTGTGTTCACTAATGGCAGATGTAGATGAGATCTCCTTATTTTCAGAAGTCATTGTGTTAAAATTACTTGATTTCCACTACATATTCAAGTGCCACCTTTGTTTTTAATATCTATTTTCTTCTTGTAGCTATTCTGTTAAGATCTCTAAAGTAATAGAGCGAATTGTTGAACGTTTTTCTCGCAACAAGATTTTCTTAAAAACTCATCACAGGAATCTTTTTCTTTATTTCTTGTAAAGAGGCATGCAAAAAAAAATTTTTTTACAGCTATATAAAAATAACCAATGTTTTCAAAAGCTCTGTGGAAACTTTCTCTCTGATCTCTTTTCAAGAATATGTTCAAAACATACAGTAATGTTCTTTATTTATTTAGTCTTGTTAAAGTTCCTTCATGTTCATGTCATCAATTTTTTTTCCTAAGGATTTTTAGAGACAACACTTTTTAGAGTTAAATCCTAGCTAGAGTTATTAAGATGCTCACTAGCTATACATTTCACTGAAATATAGGTAGTAATAGACACTTAAAACTGGATGAGAATATTTTGCTACTAGTCATTAACTCCTCTCCTAGACCTCTGGTATAGCATATTCTGCTTTTGTATAGAAAATGTACACATGTGAACATAAACAAATATTATTCTTTCAATGTTTTCAGGGACGTTTCCTGAGTCTTCCCTGGCTTTTTGAAGTGATGTCAACTTTTGGATTGCATGCAGGTGGAAAGTGGAGAGCTCTAGACCTTCATTTTCAATGAGTAAGAATTTTTCTGCACACTCATTGGCATGATATTAAATTCACTTTCCTATAGTTCTTATTTGCTCATAATCTGTAAGAACAGGTGGTGTTCATTTTTGGCAAAAAGAAATTGTATGGTATGCTATATTAGAAACATGGTAAATAAGGGAGAGTCAATATTAAAACTTATCAGTAACCAGCATTTTTATTTTCTGTATTTTAGATCTTATTATTTTAATAGGCTTAAGCTTTAATTATCAGTCAGGGTCATGGTAGGAAATGTAATTCACCAGATGGTTCAAATTAAAAACAAGGGACTAGTTACAGAGATGTGAGAGGGTTAAGGAAACCAACAAAGGCTCGTGAGGCCCCAAGGGTAGCAACGGTGGGAAGTTGTTAGTCTGTGGAGCTGAAAGGGAGGGAAACAGTGTTATTAGAGCCCAGTGAGAGCTGGAACTGTGGAGACAGGGCTGGCCATGGGAGCCACTGAGGGATGCAGCCCTAGCAAAGATGCAGTGCTATTACAGGTAGAAAGTAGATAAAAACCACAGGCTCATTCGCCTTCCAAACTCCTGTCTCCTTCCAGGGTCTCTCATTGGTTGATCCCCACCCCCTCGACCAATCAGAAGCAAACAACAAGGGAGTCAGGTGATAGGTTGAAAATAGAAGGGAAGAGATGGGCCTGGGAAGGCACAGAAATCACCAAAAACTTGTAAGGGTAAAACTACTCTTTGATTAGAGTATTAGTTTTATTTATCTATTTTACTCTGGATTCAGCAGCAATACCATAGGTGAAAGAGTAGATGTGCCATAAAATTAAAAAGTCAGTATAACAAAACTATTAAGACTCAGGGTTTTACACAGTAATTGATTGGGTCTATTGGATTTCTGCAGGATTTAAACAGTGTTTCTTTAAGTATTTTTTTAATTGCTTGAATCCCTTTTTTCAAACTGAATCTTATAAAAAGTACCTATATTAATAGAGAAAATTAGAGCTGGCTGAAAGTAACAGTGCATAGTTTCCCCAACTCCAACTTTCCAATCCTCAAATTATAAAAGTAACTGAAGATCACAGTGGGAACACCTGGGACTCCAAGGAACCCACTTTGAGAAACTGTTTTAGATTAAAGCATAAATCAAATTCTGTATTGTTTTGTTAATCCATCTTCAAAAAGAATGCCTAAGAAAGGCCAGTTGTTTCTTCAGTTTGCAGAAATGTGAAATACATTATGAAAGTTTCAATGTTACACTTGAAGTAAGGAAGTCTTTATTTTCTTTAAATTGACTTTAAGACTGAGGGCTTATGTTTATAAGAAAATAATGGATATATGATCACTCTCTAGTGGGAAATGTAAAGGATGCTTGATAATTCCAGATTAGTATATTCTCACTTCAAAATAAAAATTGACCAATCTACTTCTCAGTTAATTCCTTCATCAAATAAATAATCAATGAGCATCTACCCTGTACTAAATACTGCACTAGGTTCTTATAGAGAGAACAAAAATGACAAGTTTTTTTTTCCCATGGAGAGTGAGTACAATTCAGCAGGAACACAAGTGATATATATTAAGCAAATATATACAAAATAATTATTAAAAAAATTACGTTTGTAATGTGTTGTTAAAAAGTATAGTAGCTATAGGACATTTAAAAATTTGTATTTGTAATATGTCTACCTATATACCTATATATTTTTGTGTATAAATAGGTAAGTAGATAACACGATGTGTTTAATTTATAAAATCCTAAAGAGTAAACATACATAAATTGTGCTCAAAAAATTTGACTCTGGGAGACCTAGAATCCCCTGGTCCAGAATAAAGCCTGAAGTCCTCAGTGTAATAGCCAAGGCCTTTTGTACTATGGCTCTAACCCATTTTCTTCCAGTACTTCCCTACCTGCTCATTCTGAACTGATCTACATGCCTCTTATTTACACACTGTATTCTGCTCATCCCCCTGTGCTCTTGTTCTTTCTGCCTGGAGCTTCCTTTTTTTATTTCTGCTAACTAAATGATTCCTCATTTTGAACTATTCCCTAATTTAAATTCCCATCAATTCATACAACTCCACTGAATTCTTCATTGATCATTAAGCTAAAAGCGATGCCTTTTTCTTCTGAAATTCCATAGCATTTAATCATGTGTGGGACTTACATTCTGTATTATATTGGAATTATTTGATTTTTTGTTTTATACACTCATTCTATAAATGTGTAATAAGTGCTATTGTATGTCAGCAATGAGCAAATATATCTCTGCATTAATGGATCATGCATTTTATTTCTTTGGTGAAATGTAGTTCTGAAAAGTGAGATTATATTTATGTACTTTTGCAAGGGTTGTATCCACTTCAGAACAAACAAGATGCCTTGAGTTTGACAGCTGATAACTAAAATTGGTGAATGTATGAAGTGATTTCATTTAGCCACTACATTAAAAACTGCCATATTGTTAATATTTCTAAGCAGCCATGCTTCTCTTAGTGTTTTCTATATGTAGCACAAGTCTGTATTAAAACAACTGAAGAATTTATCTTCTGAAATATATACTGTTAATTTCTGCATACCTGCACATATCATAAGAAAATTATGAAAATGAAAGTACATTGAAATATACATATTTAAAAAGAAGGCATTATCATTGGGATTATTACTACTATTTGACTTTCTTACATAAAAAAATGGCAGTGTTTTTGGGGGAGGAAGCTTCCATATTTCAGTAACCAGTTCTCCACTTTATGATATACCTGTACACTGAGGTTCAGTGATTCCTCCGTCAAGGCTAATTCCCATCAATGACCATTAGAAAGAAAAAAAAATTAGAAAGAAGAAGTAGAGACATCAAGTTTTGCTTAGGTCTGCTGGCAGATTTCCATGATGTCAGCCTAATTTTCTTTTTGTTCCAAAGCACAGGCACATAAATTTCTTTCTGTTTCTTTACACCAGTTCTCCATCATGATTCTGAGGGGTCTCCAAATACATAATATCAGATTACCTGGTTCCAGCCATAAAGCAAATTTTTGAAGACAGGATTTTATGTATTTATTTCTCTTTGCAGTTGATAGGTGGTTCTGAGTTGCAGTCTGACTGAGCTCCTGAAAACAGTACTGAGAAGCTGTCTATAAATAAGTGGTTTTGTTTACAGGAACTTACTGGGGAACTGGACTTGTACCACCTGCCACTTGGCCAGTGTTGAGAAGTGAGAGGAAGGGGGTTCAGTCCCTTAAGATAATTCAGATCAGTTAGTCTACCTCCATGTAGGCTAGCTTCTTTTTTCTTGTTGTCTCAAACTAGGTATAGACACCCTTTGTTTCACCAATACACCTTAAAGCTATTCAGCAGTGGTCTTTCATTTTTTTTTTTTGGATCATACCCGGCCCACTCTTGTGCTTTCTAAGAATACATTTCCTTTGCTTAATGTGTCAACTAAAAGAGAATTGAGTAGGACGAAAAGAACTAGATGAAAATAAACTGACTTGAATTATGAAAATAAATATCTGCAAAGTTTTATACTTATCCCCAAATTCTTAATTTAAGCTGGTTAAGAAATTTCAATTCTGTAGGCTAGTGGCAAACCAGAGTCCATATGGAGTTTCTCAGTTGGTCTTCTGAGTAGGTGGGATATAAATATCATGACAGTGTTTCTGTTGTGTCCCTTCCACGGTCAGAGATGCTGCCTTTACTGTCTGGTTGGTCCTTTGCATGAGGTGTTATGACAGAAACCACTGGGGAATTTTGTTTCATGAGGTGATGACACTTAGCTAGCAAGTAACTATAAAGCCAGACACTTGTTTCCTAAGATGTGTTCTGTAAACCTAAAATGCCATTAGAAGGGGGAGGCCATTCTGTTACTAATTTAAGGGTCATTGAAAGCTTGCTATTAAGGCACATGAGAAATGAGTAGACATAGTTTTTCATACATTCTGTAAAACATGAAGTGATATGAGGTACTAGGGAAACAGTCTGAAAATAAAAGCCTAGCATCCTCTCCAAATTTTTCCCATCTAGCCCACATGTACCAGTGTCATAGCCCACGCTGACTCTGATGGCTGGGAACATCTGTAAGCTGAAGAGCTAGTACTGTATGCTGAGTCACATGTTCTATTTTTATTTTATAGTCCTATTTAGAGCTTGGCTACTATTAGGCTTGTCCTGATTTTCTCAGTTACTGTGATTTAGCCTGTTGGTTATTTGCAAAATGCACATTAATAGTCAGAGACTAGTTTTAATGGATGCCTGAGTTAGAGGAATAAAGAAATTGGTAGCTTATAGGACAAAAGGTTAACTGACCTTAATAAATATAGTGTATGTATTTCATCAGGAAACAATAGAAATTATTTTCTTTCTTAAAAATGAAAGAGAATTACCTCAGACCTTTCAGAAGCCATCTACCAATGAAAACAACAGAAGAACTGAAGCAGAGACCTGTGCACTGCCCTGCTCATCGCCCTGTTTTCATTAACAAGTATAAGGAAGTAGATCTGGAAATAGAGATAGATTCATGACAGCGAGACATCAGTACAGTAACCAGCACTTTCAGACATCGCCACGGAAACATACACTCAGGATTTCACAACCCTCTCACACCGGCGGTGTCACAATGCTGCCTCAGGCAAGGTTTTCATCTCCTTTTTGGGTAAAGTAGGGTTCCTTTTTTCCTCACACCAACTCCTATAAATCACTTTTCTTGAAGGGCAAACTAAAGTTTTTTAGTTTCAAAACCAACTTATCATGAGGAGGGAAATCCTGCTCATGTCATTAGAAAGTCAGCTTATAACTTACTTGGTTAGGTAGAGGGATTAAGGGCATTGTTTCCTGGCAAACTATTTGATTCAGTTCAGATATGGGAAGCCTTAAAAAGACTATCTAAAATGTTTTATTGATAACAATTTATATCACTCGTGTGTTTATAGGAAAGTGTGTCATTCTGTATTTTTTTTTAATATCTTAAGTCTATGGTGTGATCCACTGTATTCACTGAGGTTAGCAAATTTCATCCCATGGAAGATCTCTCCT